CGGTAGTCGTGTATCTTTTTTTTTTTTGCTTTTGGTTATAGGTTGACCCACATATCTGAGGGTTTAACGTCAGAGAAGAGCACACAGTGAGCTCGACAAACACATCAGTTAGGGCAAATTGTTTTCCCTCGGGTGACTCTTTAACGTTTGTTCTACTGTACTTGGTTTGGGGAATATCAAATAGGGACACTCTAAAAGCTGCTGGCTTAAAGTCAGGTTAAACACCCCTCTTCCACCGAGGTTTCACAGGTGAATTTCAACAGAAATGTCAATAGTTTCCTCCCACCCACCCCCCTTGCCTAATCTGATTTCATTTGGTTCCCTGTGGGGGCAAACAAATGTGCTTTGTTGACACCAGCCTATTGGTAGAGCTGAACCTTCTCTCATAGGGAATGAGATGGATAAACTGTTCTTTCTGATTTGCTTTCCATGATATTTCTCATAAAATTCTATTCTATATTCCATATTACATTCCATATTCTATTCTATTCTATTCTATTCTATTCTATTCTATTCTATTCTATTCTATTCTGTTCTGTTCTATTCTATTCTATTCTATTCTATTCTATTCTATTCCATTCCATTCCATTCCATTCCATTCCATTCCACTCCACTCCACTCCACTCCACTCCACTCCACTCCACTCTACTCTACTCTACTCTATTCTATTTCATTCCATATTCTACTCTACTCTACTCTACTCTACTCTACTCTACTCTACTCTACTCTACTCTACTCTACTCTACTCTACTCTACTCTACTCTACTCTATTTCATTCCATATTCTACTCTACTCTACTCTACTCTACTCTACTCTACTCTACTCTACTCTATTCTATTCTATTCTACTCAATTCGATTTTACTCTACTCTACTCTACTCTATTTCATTCCATAGTCTACTCTACTCTACTCTACTCTACTCTACTCTACTCTACTCTATTCTATTTTATTCTATTCTATTCTACTCGATTCGATTCTACTCTACTCTACTCTACTCTACTCTACTCTACTCTATTTCATTCCATATTCTACTCTACTCTACTCTACTCTACTCTACTCTACTCTACTCTACTCTACTCTACTCTACTCTACTCTACTCTACTCTACTCTATTCTATTCTATTCTATTCTATTCTATTCTATTCTATAGATTTGGAAGCTGAAACCCATGTTTCTGTGAGGCTCCCAGAAGGGGCAAGGCAAAGTGATGCCCATGACTTGTAGTAATCCTGGTAACCTAATTCATTAACTAACTAATCCCATTTAAGGTTCCTTTCCTGGTACTGCTGAGTGCCAGAATATCAGTGAGTAGGGGGTACCACCTTCTTGTCTAGGACTGATCACCCCAAAAAACCAAGCAGGATTGAGCTTGGATGGAGACCACCAGAGAATCTCAGGTTAGTCAGTCGGGCTAGGAAGCAGAAGAAGCAACCCAAAAGAAGGCAATGGCAAGATATGTCTGCATTGTTGCCAAGAAAAAAATAGCATGGCAATGTTTCATGAAGTCACCAGCAGCTGAGCTGAGTTCAAGGAGACTTGATTGTTTTGCAATAGTTGAGCTCTAGGAACAGCAGTGTCCAGGGCATTACGTTGGCAGTTAGCAGAATCCAGTAACTTTTATCTCAATGATGAAAGCTTCAGCTGTTGCATCCTTACACAACAGCATACTGTTCGAAGTACAAAATGAGACCAGTTATTCTCTTATCCCTTGACAAGGCTATTTCACCTACTCATGGAGATCACCACTGTAGAATAACAGTGGGAAAGGAACCTTGGAGGTCATCTAGTCCAACCCCCTGCCAAAGCAGGAGATCCTATACCATGTCATTCAAATAGTTGTCCAATCTCTTCTTAAAAACCTCCGGTGATGGAGCACCCACAACTTCTGGAGGCAGGTGGTTCCACTGGTTAATTGTCCTCACTGTCGGGAAGTTTCTCCTTAGTTCTAGGTTGCTTCTCTCCTTGATTAGTTTCCATCCGTTGCTTCTTGTCCAGCTTTCTGGTCCTTTGGAAAATAAGTTGACCCCTCCCTCCTCTTCTTTTGGCAACCTTTTCAATATTGGAACACTGCTATCATTTTTATTTTATTTTTTTAAATCATTTTTATCTTTGAACAGCTTACATCCTATTTTATGATGTAGCTTCTGTATCATCAACATTTACAGACCAAACAGTTGCAGGGGCTCACAGGGCCCTAGACCAGATCCTCAAAGTATATATTCATAGTGATTGTGTGGCAATTAAGGAGAGACTGAAGATAGGCAAACATTTTTTTTCAAAGCTGAAAAGAGAGAAGTTAGAGCTGTGACTCTTATCACCCCTGATGGCTCTAGTGAAATAGATCATGGAAATGATGACGACGACAATGATGATGATGATGACAATGATGAATTTCCAGCAGATCACCTTCCTTTGCATCTATTAAATTACTCATTCCTTTTCTTTTCATAGATACACAACTTCCTTCACTTCACTTCACTCCCCTCCTCTCTCCTCTCCTCCCCTCCCTCTCCTCTCCTCTTCTTCTTCCCTCCTCTCCCTCCTTCCTCCTCTCCTCTGCTCTCCTCTTCTCCTCTCCTCTCCTTCCTCTCTCTCCCCTCCCCTCTCCTCTCCTCCTTCCCTCCTCTCCCTCCCTCCTCCTCTCCTCTCTTCCTCCCCTCTCCCTCCCCTCCCCTCCCCTCCCCCTCCTCTTCTCCTTCCCTCCTCTCCCTCCCTCCTCCTCCTCTCCTCTCCTCTCCCCTCCCATGCCTCTCCTCTCCATCCTTTCCCCTCTCCTTTCTCTCTCCTCTCCCCCCCTTCTCCTTCACTCCCCTCCTCTCTCCTCTCCTCCCCTCCCTCTCCTCTCCTCTTCTTCTTCCCTCCTCTCCCTCCTTCCTCCTCTCCTCTGCTCTCCTCTTCTCCTCTCCTCTCCTTCCTCTCTCTCCCCTCCCCTCTCCTCTCCTCCTTCCCTCCTCTCCCTCCCTCCTCCTCTCCTCTCTTCCTCCCCTCTCCCTCCCCTCCCCTCCCCTCTCCCCTCCTCTTCTCCTTCCCTCCTCTCCCTCCCTCCTCCTCCTCTCCTCTCCTCTCCTCCCATGTCCCCTCTCCTTTCTCCTCTCCTCTCCCCCAGGTCCCCTCTCCTCTCTCCCCCTTCTCCTCTCCTCCCCTTCCTCTCCTCTCCTCTCCTCTCCTCTCTCTTTCCCCCCCCATCAAAAGGTCATCAAGCAAAATCTATCTAGGTTTAGTATTCACGTAGAAAGCAGCCCATGCAATATGTGCTCCAAGCCTTTTACCAAACCCCGTTACCTTCATCTGTTGGCTTAGATCAATGCCTGAATACAGTGGGCCACTTGTTAACAGAGAGATGGCCGGAGTCACCAGCAGCAAAAATCAAACACCCTTAGCAACGGTCAAGTTTTAATCCTTTGAAATGGCATCAAACAAACCCAAATGCTTTGTTTCTGCACCAGCAGAAGGAAGAACCACTCATCTGAACCACCCTGTGGAGGCCAGCAAGTTCAAGAGGGGTATATTTGAAAACTACTTGCCAGGGGCTTGTTTTGATACAGAGGTGGTTTTTTTTTTCTTTGATCCTAAAACTAGATGTGAATGGAATATGTTGAGATTCCATCTTTACTTTCCAAATGGTAGAATTAAGCTCAGATGCTGATCTACCTTGATTCTGAGCTGTTGATTATTTTTAAAAAAACAGCAGCTAAGTGATACAGAATGGATGATCAAGAGGTCTTCTCCACGAAAAAGCCAGAATTAGACTGAAAAGAGAAATTTAAACTTGTACAATGGATTTAAAAGCAATTTTTGATGTATGGTTTGTTTTAAGGATGATGATTTAGAGTTAGAAGCAAGAAAAAATATAAACACACATATATATATGAGGGTGATTTTTAGAAAAAAGATATTTTAAATAGATCAAGAATACTTTTTGGAATAACAGATTTATTTTGAGGAAAATTATGTATTGGAATTTAAAAAAATGTTGATTTTTTTTTAGATTGGGATGGTTTTAATAATTAATGGAGTGTTTTAACTTAGATGATTTTTTGTGTACAATAACATAGATGTGATAAGGTATGACAATCAATTGGATGAAATTTGAAGTTTCTGTAATGAATTGAAGTGAATTAACATTATTTTTAAAATTAAGATAGCTATTGTGTAATGAAAGAAGAAATAAATGAGATTGGTGATAAAAGGAGGGATGAGATAAATTAAGAACTAGAACAGTGGTTCTCAACCTTTTTAATGCCGCGACCCCCAATCAGTCGTAAGTCGAGGACTACTCAACCGGTCGTAAGTCGAGGACTACTCAACTGGTGCAGCACCGTTTGCAGAATGGGACTTTTGGTGGGCTCAGCAGGGCAGAGACAACCTGGACAATTCTATTGGCTTTTGAAAGCCAATAGAATTAGACTCTATTCAAGAGAGTCTATTCTATTGGCTTTCAAAAGCCAATAGAATAAAAGGGAGTAGCACAGCTAAGGAAAAGGGGAAAAAATGGCGGACTGCGTTGTTTGGCGACCCCCGTGAAATGGTCGTTCGACCCCAAATGGGGTCCCGTCTCACAGGTTGAGAACCACTGAACTAGAATATATCTGGAAGGGATACCTGAATTGATAACCTGTTGAGTTAAAGTGAAATTTGATTTTGGTAATTGTAAACTGATAAAGTTTTAAAACAGGTTTAATAGTAATAGAAATTTAATTTAGAAATGGAATATTGTAAACGTATTATGTTATTTGAGGGAAATAGAGAGGAGACAGTGAATGTATTGAGTTGAGTTGTTTATTTATGTTTTTACTTTGGACTGTCTGATTACCCAAACACCACGGTGTGTCCTGAGTACTTTTTTTTAAATTAAAAAAAACAACAATAAAATATTTTCAAAAAAAAAAAAAAGAGGTCTTCTCCACAAATCACTCTTTTTTGCAGTTTACTGGGACAAAAAGAGTTCCAATTTTTTTTGCGGGCTTCTCTTTTCTAATATTCAAGTCTCTTCTCTTTCAGACAAAATATGTGACCAGATCAGTGATGCAGTCCTTGACGCCCACTTGAAGCAAGACCCAGATGCCAAAGTTGCTTGTGGTAAGAGGTGGATTCTTCTCCTCATCAACACAAACATTCCACATTTAATGGCCATCCGAACATCTGACGGTAGTACCACAAATTGGGGGACAAGTGCTGGATTGCTATTTCCAAACTATATTTATTTATTTATTTATTTATTTATGAGACTTATATACTGTTTTAAGTGCGAGCACTCTCTAAGTGGTGTACACCAGTAAGCAATGTATATATATATATATATATATATATATATATTTACATTGCCCCCAACAATCTGGGTCCTCATTTTACCTACCCCAGAAGGATGGAAGGCTGAGTCAATCTTGAGCCAGTGAGATTTGAACCGCTGACCTGCTGAACACAATCAGCTAAAGTGGCCTGCAGTACTGCACCCTAACTGCTGCGCCACCTCGGCTCATATCCCAGATTTCATTCAGTTGGGGAAGGTTTGAGGTTGACCAACACACTCTCTCGCTGTAACGCAACCTAATTTTTGTTTTGGAGGCAAACACAACAGACAAGTGGGTGGGTTACAGCAGAGCAGAGCGGTGTGGTGGCCTAGTGGTGAAGACACTCGCCTCCCACTCGAATGGTTTCAGAGTTTAATCTCAACGTAGCAGCAGATGTTTCTCTCCCAGGGCACAAAGAAAGAAAATGTCTGCTGTGAACTCTGCATAGGTGTCAGGAAGGGAATCCAGCCAGTAAATGCTCAGCTCCATCCAGTTGTCCTGACTTTGTCTGGAATTAAGGGATTACGGGGTCATAAAAAGAGAGTTATAGTATCAGTTAAGCTCACTCCTACTGCTTCGGTGACTCCATCCAGCCACCTCATTCTCTGTCGTCCCCTTCTTCTATTGCCCTCCATCTTTCCCAGCATTAGGCTCTTCTCCATTGAATCCTTCCTTCTCATTAGGTGGCCAAAGTACTTGAGTTTCAACTTCAGGATCTGGCCTTCTAAAGAGCAGTCAAGGTTGACTCTACTCTAGGACTGACCTCCAGACAAGGGAGCTGAGCCACTTTGAGCTGTTTCCTTGAAGACAAATCCAAACACTGAGGGCCTGTATTGAATTGTTTCCTCCTCCCTATACAAGCACTTTGTTTTCTTTAACTTTCAGAGACAGTCTGCAAAACGGGAATGGTTCTTCTCTGTGGAGAGATCACCTCCAGAGCTGTGGTGGACTATCAGCAGATTGTCCGAGACACAATTATGAACATCGGCTACGACGATTCAGCTAAAGGTTGGTGGAACACTCAAAGAGCTCTGCTTTAAGCAGCTCATCCCTGTGAAGAAAATGAAATCTGACTCTATCTTGGTTGGCTTAGCTATGATGCTCAAGAGATTGATGCAACATTGGTTGAGCAACGCTCAGGTTTTTAACAAGCAAAAGGTCTCCAACTCTTTGCATAAGGAGATTAAAGCTATTTATGGGCTGGTCAAGGGTTATCTCAAGGTTGGGTCATCCCTCACACACCAACTGCTTCATCACATTCTTGCTATTTGTTCTTGACTTGACCAACTGGCTTTTGGATTTCTAGCCATTAATGACGTCAAAGCTGTTTATGGAGGCTTCAGGGAGAGCGTCGGGATCCTCCTTAACTTGTTGGAGTTGTTTCTCTATGATTAATGGAATTTTATTCCGGCAGGCTTTGACTACAAGACCTGTAACGTCCTTGTGGCTTTGGAGCAACAGTCCCCTGATATTGCCCAGGGGGTTCACCTACACAGGAACGAAGAAGACGTTGGTGCTGGAGACCAGGTAAGATCTGAGCCGAAGTGGCGCAGCAGTTAGAGTGCAGTACTGCAGGCCACTTTAGCTGACTGTGTTCAGCAGGTCAGCGGTTCAAATCTCACCGGCTCAAGGTTGACTCAGCCTTCCATCCTTCCGGGGTAGGTAAAATGAGGACCCAGATTGTTGGGGGCAATGTAAATATATATATATACATTGCTTACTGGTGTACGCCGCTTAAAGAGTGCTTGCACTTAAAAGCGGTATATAAGTCTCATAAATAAATAAATCTGCCCCATTACCCAAAGGCATAAAATAGATGCTTTCTCGGTTGCGGATTCAGAATTCAAATGAGCACCTTGGGTTTGAAATGCAGAGCGACGTTCTCAGGGATCAACTTCAGGAATGTAAAAAAGCAATTATTCCAGGGGTCAAATCTCTTCCTTGTTGGCAAATCTGAGGCAAGGGTCAGGCATGCAGGAACTGATGGCTGACGTATTAACACAGTTACATATTTATGCCTGCAATTTGCTTTTCTTGCTCAAGCCCTCTCTGTAATATTCCTCCTAGATCTGTCAACCAAAGTTATCTTAGTGTAAAGACAAAGTATTCGTTGACCTACGTTTGACTCCTGCTGACTTTATAAATAAACTTAATAAATAAGTAGAGAGGTTGGCCTGCTTTATTTAGAATAGGATAAGTCTACTCTTGCTGTTTACTTTTTACTTCCCAGTTCAACCTACAGCCTGGGATCTCCCAAGTGTTGACTCCAAGTATATCTGACCCCACTTAGCTTTTTCCAAGGCTACCTCCGTAGAATAGAATAACAGAGCTGGAAGGGTCCTTGGAGGTCTTCTAGTCCAACCCCCTGCTCAAGCAGGAGATCCTGCGCCATTTTATACAAATGGCTGTCCAATCTCTCTTGAAAACCTCCAGTGATGGAGCACCTATAACTTTTGAAGGCTTCCACTGGTCAGCTTCCGGTGGTGGATTGTTCTCATCTTTAGAAAATTTCTCCTTAGTTCTAGGTTGCTTCTCTCCTTGATTAGTTTCCATCCGTTGCTTCTTGTGCTGCCTTCAGGCACTTTGGAGAATACCTTGACTCCCTCTTCTTTGGGGCAGCCCCCGAGATACTGGAATACTGCTATCATGTCACCCCTTGTCCTTTTTGTTCAACTTGACCTACTCAGTTCTTGCAACCATTCTTTGTATGTTTTAGCCTCCAGTGCCGTAATCATCTTTGTTGTTCCATCCATTCCATCTCTCCATCTCTCTCTCTCTCTCTCTCTCTCTCTTCTATATTATATCTATCTATCTATCTATCTATCTATCTATCTATCTATCTATCTATCTATCTATCTATCTACCCACCCACCCACCCACCTACCTATGTACCTACCTACCTATCTATCATCTATCTATCTATCTATCTATCTATCTATCTATCTATCTATCTATCTATCTATCTATCTATCTATCTATCTACCCACCCACCCACCCACCTACCTATGTACCTACCTATCTATCTATCTATCTATCTATCTATCTATCTATCTATCTATCTATCTATCTATCTATCTATTTATCTTGTCATGCCTTCTGGTGTTTTGAAGAATAGGTTGACCTTCTCTTCTTTGTGTCAGCCCTTCAAATATTGGAAGACTGCCATCATGTCCCCCCTAATCCTTCTTTTCACTAGACATACCTAATGACCAGTGAGATTACTGTGCTGCTATCTCATCGATCATCCATCCAAAGCTCTGAAGATTTCAAACCATCTTGACAGAAAGTGACTGTGTCAAAAACCACAAGCTATCATTCTGGGAAAGAGAGAAAGAGTAGCCAGGAATTGCAGTGTGTTAATGAATGGGAAAAGATGAATATGATACTATAATGCCAAAAAAAAAAAAAAAAAGAATCTTATGGACCATTGGTTGAGGTTTTCCTTTGCAATACTGCATCCAGTTTTGGTCGCCCCAATGTAAGAAAGACATTGAGACTCTAGAAAGAGTGCAGGAAAGAGCCACAAAGATGATCAGGGGACTGGAGGCTAAAACATATAAAGAACAGTTGCTGGAATTGGGTATGTCTTATCCTAGAGAAGGACTAGGGGTGACGTGATAGCAGTCTTCCAATATCTCAGGGATTGCCACAAAGAAGAGCAGGTCAACCTATTCTCCAAAGCACCTGAAGGCAGGACAAGAAGCAACAGATTAATCAAGGAGAGAAGCAACCTGGAACTAAGGAGAAATTTCCTGACTGTTGGAACAATTAACCAGTGGAACAACTTGCATCCAGAAGTTGTGAATGCTCCAACACTGGAAGTCTTTAAGAAGAGACTGGACGATTTGTCTGAAATGGTATAGAGTTTCTTGCCTGAGTAGGGGGTTGGACTACAAGACCTCCAAGGTCCCTTCCAACTTTGTTATTCTATTCTATTCTATTCTATTCTATTCTATTCTATTCTATTCTATTCTATTCTATTCTATTCTATACTATACTATACTATACTATACTATACTATACTATACTATACTATACTATTTTCTTTTTTGGTTTTCCTTTAATAAACCAGCAAAGTACTAAGAATTGTCCAATCTTTCTTCCATGCAGGGCCTGATGTTTGGCTACGCAACTGATGAAACAGAAGAATGCATGCCACTAACCATTATCCTTGCCCACAAGCTGAATGCCAAAATGGCCGAGCTGAGACGCAATGGAGTCCTCCCTTGGCTTCGACCAGACTCCAAAACCCAGGTAAGTTTGGATCAAGCCCAATGCCTCATTCTCTAGCTTAGTGGTTCTCAGCTTGTGGGTCGGGACCCCATTTGGGGTCAAATGACCATTTCACGGCGGTTGCCAGACAACGCAGTCCGCCATTTTTTTCCCCCTTTTCCTTAGCTGTGCTACTCCCTTTTATTCTATTGGCTTTTGAAAGCCAATAGAATAGACTCTTTTGAATAGAGTCTAATTCTATTGGCTTTCCAAAGCCAATAGCAATTGTCCAGGCTGTCTCTGCCCTACTGAGCCCGCCAAAAGTCCCATTCTGCAAACGGTGCTACATCAGTTGAGTAGTCCTTGACTTACGACCGGTTGAGTAGTCCTCGACTTACGACCGGTTGGGGGTCACGGCATTAAAAAGGTTGAGAACCACTGCTCTAGAGGCTTAGAGCCAATCTGTGTGGCAAAACTAGAGATCAAGATTGTATGAGGTAAGGTTGAGGAAAACAGAGGAGAAGACCAAGGACACAGAAGATGGATTGGATCAAAGAGATGATCTTGGAAGAGGTGCGAGTTATTCTTCAAGACAGGTCAGGGGACTGGCTTTGGTCTATAACAGGTTGGAGGTCATCTAGTCCAACCCCCTGCTCAGGCAGGAAACCCTATACCATTTCAGAGAAATGGCTGTCCAATCTCTTCTTAAACCTCCAGTGATGGAGCATCCACAACCTCTGGAGGCAGGTTGTTCCACTGGTTAATTGTTCTCACTGTCAGGAAGTTTCTCCGTAGTTCTAGGTTGATTCTCTCCTTGATTGGTTTCCATCCATTGCTTCTTGTCCTGCCTTCAGGGGCTTTGGAGAATAGCTTGACTCCCTCTTCTTTGGGGCATCCCTTGAGATATTGGAACACTGCTATGAGGTCACCCCTTGTCCTTCTTTTTGTTCAACTTGACCTACTCAGTTCTTGCAACCATTCTTTGTATGTTTTAGCCTCCAGTCCCGTAATCATCTTTGTTGTTCTTTTCTGCACTTTTTCCAGACTCTCAACATCTTTTTTATATTGTAGTGACCAAAACTGTATGCAATATTCCAAGTGAGGTCTTACCAAGTGGTACTAAAACGATCTTGATTCTATCCCTCTGTTGATGCATTAAAATCTCTCTCTCTACTAACTGAATGGATTTTTGTATGGATGTTCATAATTTGAGGATAATACTATTCCTGCTTCTGGGGTCGGACCCATATTCCTTGTCACATTGCAATGTAAGCTCATCTAGTGACAGTAACAACTTCTGTGCCCTCCATCTGTGTGAGTCAAGGTTGCACACACCCCTCACTTACCTCATCGGGTTTTTGGAAATGGCATTGACCTCAGTACTGCTGGCCTCTTCTCTCTTTTTATTTTTTTTTTTCTGTATACTTTTTGGGGAAACCTGTAGAGCAGCAGGAGTTCACAGTACTATAGAATAGAATGGAATAGAATAGAATAAAATAGAATAGAATAGAACAGAACAGAATAGAAACAGAAACAGGATGAAATGGAATAGAATATAGAATGCAAAATAGAATAGAATGTAGAATAGAATAGAATATAGAATGCAGAATAGAATAGAATGTAGTAGAATAGAATATAGAATGCAGAATAGAATAGAATAGAATAGAATGTAGAATGCAGAATAGAATAGAATAGAATGTAGAATAGAATAGAATAGAATATAGAATGCAGAATAGAATAGAATGTAGAATAGAATAGAATAGAATATAGAATGCAGAATAGAATAGAATGTAGAATAGAATAGAATAGAATAGAATGAATGCAGAATAGAATAGAATAGAATAGAATGTAGAATAGAATAGAATATAGAATGCAAAATAGAGTAGTAGAATAGAATAGAATGTAGAATAGAATAGAATAGAATATAGAATGCAGAATAGAATAGAATGCAGAATAGAATAGAATGTAGAATAGAATAGAATGTAGAATAGAATAAAATAGAATAGAATATAGAATGCAGAATAGAATAGAATATAGAATGCAGAATAGAATAGTAGAATAGAATAGAATGTAGAATAGAATAGAATAGAATAGAATGTAGAATAGAATGTAATAAAGAATAGAATAGAATGTAGAATAGATTAGAATAGAATAAGAACGGAACAGAACAGAACAGAATAGAATAACGTGTTCATCCCAAAGAGCATAGCTAAATGTCTACAGAGATTCTCAGTCATCCAGGTCATGGTTGTCCCAAAGGTGCTTTTTTCAGGAGGCATCTGGACTTTCTTGTTTTTCTTTGAAGCTTCTCCAGCTCTGACTGGATCCACACAATTAAACTTGAATTCCTCCTTTGCCCACCCCCCCTTTCCGTCCATTGTGATGTCCGATCGCATTACGCTCCTTTTGTTATGGGAACTGCCTGGACTGTTCCAACACCTGCACAGCGAGACCTTGAAGGGAGGATCAGGGTCTCACAATCTCCGCTCTCCACTTGACACGTTCTTTTTAAAAAAATCTTGCAAGTAGCCAAAGGTTTCTGAACGTTCTTTTCTCTTTCTGACTTGGTCTAAAAACCACCCTTTCTGTCATTTCTTTGCAGATCACAGTTCAATATGTCCAGGAAGACGGGGCGGTCATCCCCGTGCGGGTTCATACCATTGTCATCTCCGTGCAGCACGACGAAGGCATCTCCTTGGAGGCCATGCGCAAAGCCTTGCAGGAACACGTGATCAAAGCCGTGGTGCCAGCCCACTACTTGGACGACAACACGGTTTACCACCTGCAACCCAGCGGCCGTTTTGTCATCGGAGGGCCACAGGTGCGCCTTTCGCCTCACGCCATCCTGAAGGGTTGACATCACATTTTTATATTAGATCCAGTAAAGATCGCCTTTGATGTTACCACCGCAACTTGAGCCCAAAGGTTGTGTTGCTGAGTGAGGCGTTTGTTAAGTAAATTTTGCCCCATTTTACGATGTTTCTTGCCGCAGTTCATT